ACATTTTCTTAAAACTTTAGGCAAACCATACTGTGAATGAGTGTTAAATAGCGTAAAGCCTAGGTCAATCAGGGTTTCTTTCTGGCTACCTCCAATCACTTAAAATATCAATATAGTTCAAATAATTTTGAGTTACTTAGGTTGATGGCCACACTATAACTTGATCGATGGGATTCGATTAGTACTAGCCATTATAATGACCACTACTTAGTGATTATTCATTTATGACTACTAATCATTAGTCAATACCCATAATTAAAATTCGAAACTAAAATGATAATGGGTTCTAAATATTGTCACAAATTATATTTATCAGAAGTAATTTCTGTGTAACTTTCCCTAGGTAACGCTCAGTTATGCTGGTTCTAAAATATAATCAATCTAACTAGCAGCGAAATTAAATACGTGCATTTCATCCAATTTGAGTCTCAGCAAATAGAGTTGATATTCATACTTGGACTCGAATCTGGTATCTTTTATGTTAATGGACTCAGTACCTCAATTGATAACATGTTTACCTATGAGCATAAACACTAAGATAAAGGTACATCCATCTGATGAGTCTCGAATAGGCAAGAATATAAATCATGGCTTCGATTTTTAGCCACATACAAAATATAATAAAGCTTACTGTTGAAATCATGAGTCAACTGAAGCTAGACCACCATGGAAAACCTGGAAGCACTGGACGGTCGTTTCGTCCTAGTATGGAACTCCTCAGCAGTGCGCATCCACGATCCAGCTTACTGTGTTTTTAATATTGTTAGTCACTGATTTAGCAGAATCAGTAGTATTTACTGGACTTTAAAAAAAAAACCAGATTGGCCAGAGAAATGAATTTATGGTATAAAATGAATAAAACAAAATGGAAATTTATGAACTCAATGGTAAACAAAAAATAGATAGATATTACCTTGATTCCGTAAAAGCGTACCGCTGTAAAAAAACGCTGAACACTTCATACAAACAAAGTAGAAATCTATAGATGGGGTAATCAGGAGAGCTTAAACCATTTCAAAGTAACGATGTATAAATCAAGTCCAGATGTCGACTGTCAAGCGAAAGAATATGTACACAATATATGTACGATATCAAGAGTTTTCGGGCAAGTCTTCGTTCATTTAATCAATGAGTATTATATGTAAATGTATGGTGTTCATTGAGGATTTCACTTCAGGCAATAACTTTCACTCTATTTGAGTTTTCATTCAACAAGTTGGGATGTGTTACAATGTTATGATCATAGAGACATATGTGTAGATGATTGAAATGAAGTGAATGTGATGAAACTCATGATCTGATATGTGGTATTCACTCACTGACTGATTAAATGAATGTGAAACTGTTTGGAAATTGTTAGATATTGAACTTTTATTGAACACTTAGAAAAAAAAGATGGTTGACCCCACATTTTCTCAACCATGCGATGATTAAATTCACTTGAATCTTACCATTGATGTTTAGCACTGCAATTAGTCAGTGTCTTATTGGAATATGTGCATCCTGTGTATATTGCATCGATACAGCCTTAATTCACAAGTATTATTAGCAAAGATGGATAGTGGTCAGCAGTAGGATTCAGGACGCGTTTTACTCCTATTTGGGACTCGCAACTATACACATTTGCTTATTTTACTTGTGAATTAAGGTTATATCGAGGTAATATACACAGTATGCACATATGACAAAAAGAGATTGATCAATGGCGATCCTAAACATCAATGTAAATGATGTCAGGTAAATTAAAACTTCACCGACTTGCACAAGCAAGTGGCTACCAGGACTCAGTAGCTAAGTGAATAACGCTTTTGCGTTAGAATCGAACTGTACTGGGTTGGAGTCCCAGAGTGAACATCAACCTTGAGATGCAAGTAAATTCAGCTGACGAGTCCCAAATAGAGCGAAACGCATGTCCTGGATTCCATTGTTAGCCATTATTCATCTTTACTTACCATACGATGATTGGTTCTAATAACGAAAACCTTATGAAATACTTGTAAAACATCTAATTATTGAGAACAACATTCAATGCGTGAATAAAATGATTGTGAATGAATGAAAACTTAAACCAGATTGAATGATATTTCTTCACTAAACTTGTTAGAATTAAATTTCTGATCAGGGTTCAGTTTAGAATCAAGTCGATTGGTTGAATATGATCAGGGATTTCTTAAGGTCATCTTTGCTGATATTCTTAAACATTAATGAAATTAGAAATCTGTTTCAATGTTAGGTATATATAAATAGTGCTTTTTTCATTTATATTGATAATTTGGATCTTCTTATTGATGTTTATAACTGTAAATGATCGGTCTCTTTTGGTTTATGTACATCGTGTATGGATTGATTCGATATTTGCAGTTCAGTCATAACCATTTTTAGCCATTAAGAATTGCGGTTAACACGGGGATCTAGGATGTGTGTTTTGTCCTAGTTGTGATTCGTCAGCTGGATGTACCCGCACTAGGGCTCGAACCCAGCATTGTCCACTTGGCTACTGAGTTTAAACGTGCGTCGACTTGTGCAAAAGAGAGTATTTCGATTCACAAGTATTAGTTGTTTGGAACACTTTTTTTCGGTTGAGAATGTTAACCTTCGAACTTATCGGCATAGATTTTAATAAATTCCATGCTGACATTATCCTGATGAATCGTTTATCACGGCTATGCGACTGAGTAAACAAATCAGTTTATGTGTATAGAATATTTTCTATTAGTTATTGGATTTTATTCTCCCTTAAACAGTGGAGATAAGACTAAACTAAGTTATTCAAATTTATTTATTTATTTGAACACATAAATATCGGTAAAAAGGGGCACCAAATACATATGCGCCACACAAGTCAGTTGATTTGTGTGTGGGTTGTGATACTGCCTCGGTGCCCAAGGAGAAACAGGTGGTTTTCTTAGGGGACCACTCCCTGAGCCTTCAAATTAAAGATATCATTCACAAGACAGTGGAACTACATCAGGAGATGCACGCTCATGGTAGCCGTTGACCAACTGTTGGTTTGTACACCAATTGTCCCTTCAGCAACCTGGGGCCCATGTGCACCATTGGTTTGGAATGTGGGTTTTCCAACTCCCCTAGGTGGACTCTCCATGTTCATTAACCCGTGGTTATAGCACCGAACATTTCTGTCAATTTCGTAAACAACACCCGTGATGCGAGAAGGCGATGTGTAGGACTTCTGTGACAGTGGTTGTATATACGTGACCATGTAAGAGCATTTGGAGAGGGAAAGCTGACTCTCCCCATCCTCAGTCGTAACAGGGTATTTGTGGGCAAGTTTTTCTAAACCATGATGATTCTCGATTGTGGATATGATTGTGTTAAACACTTCGAAATCATTTAAACAATTACTATGTTATTTTATTGAATACAGACTATCGTTTGAGTTAGTTGCAATTTTCACTCTCGTTTATCATTTGTGTAGAACAAGGTGTAATTACATTAGAATATGTCTCAATGGTAAATAAAAATGAATAAGTTCATGATAAGATTACAGTTTCAACGGTATTTTTTAGCTTAGGTTTTGACTGAAAACTAGGATAAATATTGAACGGTTATTTTGTACTAGTATAAGACTACTTATTAGTAGTAGACTTAAGTTTCGTGCTGTTTGGCAAGATGTAACTTCAGTCTCAAGAGACTACCAATTCTTCCTAGTGAATTTGATCACATGTCATCCAGTCTCACAACTAGATTCTGTACTACTGAAAAATCAGGAATGCGAGTAATGTTTTGTAAGACAGTTGATTGATAACTGAGTGGTGACCAATGTCATGGACATCAAGTCCGTTTTATTTATTTAAACACATAAACTTTGGTACAAGGAGACACCAAATAGATATGCGCCACATAAATCATTCGATTTGTGTGAGGGCTGTGATACTGCCCGGGTGCCCAAACCGAAACAGGTGGTTTTCTTAGGGGGTCCACCCCGAGCCTTTGACCTTAAGGTCTGACCCACAAGGCAGTAGAGCATCGTGAGGAGACGCAGTCCCATAGTAGCCGGTGACCAACGATTAGTTCATACACCATTTGTTCCCTCAGGATACTGGAGCCCATGTGCACCATTGGTTTGGAATCCAGTTAAAGCGCCGGACATTCGCTTTTCGTCCTCTCAATTTCGTAAACTATACCCCCGCCACGAGAAGGGAGTGAGTAGGACTTCCCTGGCAGAGGCTGTATACGCGTGGCCATGTGAGAGCATTTCGAGTGGGAAGGCGGGCCCACCCCACTCTCGGTCATACCAAGGCATTTGGGGGGCTATACCAGGGCATCTGGGGGCCTTCTTAGTGCTGATCGAGCACTGTGGATCAAGCCTTAAATTGGAATAATGTTAATCTTAGTCTATCGTCTACCATCTCTATGACCATATTTCAATCTATGCTTCTAATACATAATGAATATTAGAGTGAACGACTGTTAACGATAATTGCTTGATCAGCCTGATGGAGAACTCATCAAAAACAATAGTTTACTCCAATACTCGTTCATGAATATTGTATAGGAATTTATGGATTCTAGTGTATAATGGACTAATATTGACAAAAATGTAGATATCAAAATCTCCCTAGACGTAAATCTTCTGTTGAAATGAGAATATGTAACGGTTCAAGTTAGGTTTTCAAGTATGTTATATGCTCAAGGAGCACGTGAACAAATCTAGAAGAATAAGGCACAATAAGAAACTGTTAACCAATATCAAAGTCAGATACTTCAATACAAATGTCAAAACAGTTCTACTGTACTGAGCTTTATTTCTAATCTTTAATAAAGTCATATTATATTGAACAAGTCTTTGATTTTATGTTTACATTAATATGGTACTCGTCTATTAATGTCAAATCTTGTTTCAACTTGTAAATTGTTTATGAATGAGCAGTAGGAAGTTTAATTAACCATGAAAAAAAAATGTTGTAAAACATTCCTTCTTTTTAGTTAAAATACGAAACAAATGTAGAAAATACATAGAATTCTTTTCATGAACTATAATGAATACATGTATTGACTTGATGAAAGAAATGTATGCTTTGATATTGATAATTATCTTATACAAATATCTGTAATGATTGTAATGATTGAGACTGAAAACCTAGAAATATTGGATGGTTGTTTCGTCCTAGTGTAGGACTCCTCAGTAGTGCGCATACATTATTTTGGCTCATAGACTATTATTATATGGTTCACAGTTATTGAGTTCTGCTCAGTCGATTCATTAAAGTATTCCATATTCACAGCCACTTTTGACTAAATCTTGTACAAATGTTGTTTTCTATTTTATGGTACGATCTGGTTTGTTTGATTAGTACATAAACCCAGTATGTCTGAAATACATGATTCATATTGTAGAGATTGAGGTTTGTGTTCTGGACTCAATCAGGCAAGGCTAGTCAGGAAGAAACACTGATAAAGACTCTAGACTCTTCATACTTGTTTTATGCGTCGTTGGTCCGGTCGATAAATCACTGTTCTCTAATTGGTGGTATCATTACGTTATATATTAGTAGAGCACTAATCTACAAGTTATAACACGTAAGTGTACGGTTTTCATTGAGGCTTTCATTTCAAGCCCTAACTTTCACTTTGAGATAATAAGGAAGATTTGCAGCTCAGGTGGATGATTTGGGCGGAGTTTTGATCGTGAGACTTTCATCATGATTAGCATAAACTTTCATACTATTTAATTCTTCATCGAACAAGTAGTGATGTTCTATGGTAAACTATTCACAGAAGGCATACATAAATACATATATGGACCACAATGTAATTCTGGTTTAAGTTCAATATTTGTCATCAATCAATTAACTTTACATTAGGAACAGAATTGAGTTTGGAATTCTACTTCCTTGATGTTTCATTAAAACGAAGATTAGATCAATCTATTAAAATACAACTTGATATATTCAATATACTAAATTATCATAGATGAGATCCATTAAATAGAAAGGGTAACATAATTCAGTATTTATCATCAAGTTATAGACATATATACTCTGAAGATATAAGAGATGAGAAGCAATCGTCCAATTTATCCATGTTTTCAATGTATGATCTAACTTAGAATAATTCATGAATTCAACTATTAAAATTATTACAATCTTCACAAATCCCTTATTCTGGGAATAAGATCATTAAATCCGTTTGGTATTGTTTTACTTGAATCTTTCCATTGACGTTTAGGATTGCAATTTGTCAGTCTGCTATTGTCATATGTGTATACTATGTGTATTGACTCGATATAACTTTAAATCACAAGCATTATGAGGACAGATAGATTTCGCCTAGCAGTAGAATCGAGGATACGCGTTTCGTCCTACTTCGGACTCATCAGCTGGATGTACCTGCATCTCAGAGTTGATGTTCACTCTGGGTCTCGAACCCAGTACCATTCGCCTCAAACGCCATCACGTTACCCACATATCTACTGAGTCCTGATATCTACTTGCTTGTGCAATGGCATGAAGTTTAAATTCACTTGATATTATTTGTTTGAATCTTCTTATTGATGTTAAGGATTGTAATTGATCAGTGTCTGATTGTTATATGTGCATACTGTGTGTATAATCTTAATTCACAAGCATTATCACCAAAGATGTATAGTGACTAGCAGTGGAATTCAGAACACGTGTTTCGTCCTAGTTGAGACTCATCAGATGAATGTACCTACACCTCATAGTTAATGTTCCCATTGGGGTTCAAACTTTATACCATTCATTTTAAAATATAATATCATTAGTATAGAAACACAAATTCCTGATGTATTTCAATGAGTAGAATATATCATGGGTCACCATTAAAATTTCTATTGATTACATCCAAACAGATAACAATATCCAGTCAACAATATCTTGTATAATATTAGATAGAGATGGAGTGTGTGTGTGTGCGTGGGGGGGGGGTAAATATAAAAATATTATCATCATTATCGTTATACAGTTTTAACAAATAATAATAGGATGATAACTAGAAAGAAAGATAAGCAAACTGATTAAAACTAGAATAGAAACAAATGATTATACAACTATGTTTCATTTTCTTATAGAATACAATAAATAGTTTCTATCAATTCTATAACGATTAGTATATTTATCAAGTTGTATATATCAACTGGAAAACTGTTATTAATAATAATAATAATAATAATAATATTGCTGTTGTCCCCTCACCCTTCCGGTTAATGAAATAATATTACAATTTCTCCCTTCCTTTATATTTTCACTCTTTGTATATCCGTCTTTATTTTTCTCCTACCTATTAACTCATAATTTCAAAATTGTCTAGTAAGAATATATATATGTTTCCCCGGTTGCCATGGTAACCAGGAGAGAAAACTAACCTAGAAGAGAGAAAAATCACGAATGGAATAATAATAATAACAATAATAATAAACACCGTATTACCATCAGTATGATTATTATTATTATTGTCTTGAATATTTTGAGGCGCATATTCCCTCTTTCTCACTCTCGTAGACACACACACATACATACA